GTTGGAGGCAGATGACAATTCAGCGATACACACTGATGGAAGAGGATCATTGCAGAGAGCAGCATCGATGATCAACACAAACCAAATACAATCAACAGTGAAAAAAGCTCGATTAATCAGTGAGCATCCTTCACTGGGTAAGTGTTTAAGTACGAGTTTGATGTCTTCGACACGCTTGCTGGATTAATGTTTGGTTTAGATGCAAATATTCATTTCAGAAGAGGTACGGACCAATGAAGGGACGAACAATCATTCACTGGAAAATTATTATCAAAATTCTGATGATTACCCAATTCAAACTTCAAACAGCTTTATTGATGATGATTACCATTTGTTTGCTAGCAATAAATATCACATTCCCGACTTGAATTTGCGTGTATTCAATCGGAAAAAAAATGGGAACTCACATAATGAGAACTTTCAAGATATTGAAGAAAATGGTATGTTAACAATCCTTTGAATTGTCATCTGAGCCGTAATGCTCGCCATTTTTGTTTTATTCATATGCAGACTTTTTAGTTGGTCTTTACTTCACTTCAATAATTTAATGGCTGTCAATTTGTTGTTCAGATGCATACGATGAAGATCAATGGAGAACCTTAACAGGAAACATAACCACTGCTCTGCGGGGAGTTGTTCGTCGGAAACAGTCGAATAATGAATCATCTCCTCAGTACTATATTTTTCCGTTTTATTTACCGAAACAGCTTGGAGCGAGCATTTCAAATGTGAACCTTCGTTTGTAAATTTCAGTTTTTCCTCTAACTCGTTGATGATCAATTCTTCAGTGAACTAGATCAAGTCATTCCAGTGATGTTTCTATTCCAGTCGAACTGTTCGATTCCACCGAGTAGAGCAGAGAAAAACTGGAATAGAGCAGTTTGGCTGGAAATGGACGCGAAGAACAGGACAACTGAAGGGTGGAATAGAACAGTTTACTGAAAGTGTGGAACAGAAACATCACTAGGCCATTCCTCCAGCAATTCATCATTAATTTCATACATTTTTCATTTGATCTCAAAAAATACCTTTTAATAATTTTATGGTGAATTAGTGAGAGCAATCGATCGAAATTCGGTCCGTAAAATCAACGAATTTCGGCCGAGATTCGAAATTCGACCGAAGATTTTTTAAGTTTGATCAGGATAGTGAATTTTGGAGTCATTAAATGTGAACTTGGTTAGATTCTAATCGAGGAATTCCAAGGTTCGGTGAGAATTCCGAAGTTTGTAATGTTGAGAAGTCGATTCGGTCGAATTCCGACAGCACTGAAATTTCGTTCGGATGTTAACACCATGATCAACGATGTAAAATTCATTCGAATAAGTTGATATATATGCGATTCTCTAAACAAATTGATTCAGAACAGAAAACCAGATGTGTCTTTTGAGCATATAATAATAAATGGGAAGCTGGTTGAAAGACAAAGGTATTTCAACAGTGGAAGAAGACCTGTTAGAGTCGATTTGTGGAGTCAAGTACTCCATGGTTGGCTGCGTTCTATATTTATTCACTTTTCAGAGACTTTTTAAGAGAAATTGGCTTGAAATTTCATTGAACATGACTTTGGACACCGAGCTGTAAAGCCTAAACCCTCTAGAAAAAATGTTGTGAATTGAACACATTGCTTGTGTTGGTTTAACCAAGCAACATGATTCAATTCAAATTTCAAGAAATATAAAATAAAGATCATTGCAAAAAGTAAAGCTTAGCGTTGACAACTTCAGAGAAAAAATTCAACATTGAGTTCATTTCACTGAGATGTGCCTTCGAATTTTAACTGTGAAGAAATGTGTTGTACTTTTTGCATTGCGTTGTACTTTCTGTTTTTAAACGATTTGCTTTCCTTAACAAATCCTGACTGTAAAATTCTTTTGAACTGGTTGATTTAATCGTCATCAAAATTCGCCCGATTTTAACGCTCGAATGTTAAATTTCAAAGCATTTTAGGTCACGACATACTGACTCGTCCTGGTGCTATAATAAATGGCTCGTTAAGACCATTACAAAAAGAAGTGATAAATATTGGTAACGGTAGAAACAACGTTGAACGTAAACGTTTGAAGTTATTATTAAGAAAAATTCACGCAACAACTCAATCGAGGAGATTGCATTCATATGCACAGTCTAAATTTGTGACAAGCGTTGAATATGAATCGAAGAATAATTAAAAGAAATATTCGGGATAAATCCACTTGATTGATCTCAACTTGTCCGACTGGGTCAATTTTGTAGATGATCGATCCGCAAATGTAGAATTATTAGTCATCAAGAACGATAAGACCATTTGAATATCATCGAGATCTATTAATCTTAAAAGGATTATCGTCTCTGACCACGATCAAATAGTTGCTCATGACGTTTAAAAATTCGTTATTGCATTTGCTGTTAATGTTCACTGCTTGAATATGTGATTGTGATCAACCGTTTGCCTGTAAGTGCTCTAATATGTCATGTTTGTGTTTGCTTACTGTTTACTAGTTTTGTTTTCAAATGAGTTTTCCGAATTAATAAAACAAGTTCTCGAGAAAGTGATTTCCTGGAGCGGTAAGAAAGGTGAGGATTGTAACGAAAGATGGTGATGCTTATCGCTTTTCAAAACATACGTTGATAATGTTTGCTTGCATGGTAATGTGAAAATGGTCATTTCAATTGTTGATTAAGTGCAATCGTTATTTGTGATAACATATGATGCTGTTTATTGATATGGATATGAAACCTGCGAATGTTGAACAAATAAATCAAGAATACACAGTTCGTTGAATTGAGTACGTACTGTTCAACCATAATTCAGGCTCATTAAAATTGTTCCTGTATTAATGGATCGAAGCGAACAAAATTCACAAAAAATGTATTCTAGAAAGTTGGGAATTAGAAAGAATAAAGTGAAATTTACACGATAAAACAGTAATTATGTATTTAGTTGCTTCTTGTGTTCATAATTCTCGAAGCTTTTTAATGAGTGCTTTCGTTTTCTTTCGTAAGTTTTCTATTCCCGTTGTTTTTTTTTTCTGAAAGAAGTTGTTCAATTTTGCAATTTTGGGAAGTATTGTTCATTATAATAGTTTTAAGTCTTGTTCAATATTTCTCTCATTACTGTGCCTCTTAACAGTGAACTGATATCACAAAAGAATTGATTATTGAGATGATAATTTTTATTGAGCTTTTTGATAGAAATAAATATGATTGCTGATTGAGAAATAGAAATTAGAAAGAATATGATAAGAGATAGATACGTGTGATGCGTACATTTGTGTGTACAGTCAAATAGAGAGAGGCGTTTTTGGTAGTCGTTAACAGTAGTTGATACGTTAACAGACGGGTTGTGCATTCATTTTACGATGCAACAAGACGACTCACTTACTTCCAGTTGTATTGTTCAGGCGAATAACAATTCGGATATTGTTAACAGCGACTTTTTGAGGTAAATAAAATTCATATTTTATTGCCAATTTATTAACACTGGTCTGTTATGTTTTTAGATAAGTCGTTTTTATTTGTGCTTTAGTTCGTAACATCAGAAATTTAGCTGATGTCATTATTTTTTAAGGAATTTTCTGTCTTATTT